GACCCTTCAGTTTGTTCCTAATGTTTCTAACTATTGCTCTCAACTGGTCACTAGTGGACTGGATGGGTAAGACCATAGATATTAGAGTAAATGAAAGGAATTGGAAACTTCCGTTGCGTGGGCGGATTATTTCATTAAGATTATTAGGTTGCCTAGCAACATAGGCAAGTTACCCTTCCCGGGCCTTTTCCTTCACTGTTCGGCGTCCTATTTCAACTCATAACTCTAAAGTGACTTGTGATCGTCCTCTACAATGATAATTAAAGGCATTGCAGATACCTCCCTTACAGTCTGTCTAATTTTTGAAGTAAAGTAATATTGATAACTATGGGTAAAGTTTGATTTAGTGACCTGATACCTTCAATATTGTGGTTTTGTACCCTTTTTTAGAATACAAAAGAAGTAATAACAGAATTAACTATTACCAACTATTCTATACATTATTATGGAGGGCACGCAACATAAATGACTCCGATGACAGATTTGGTGACTGATTTATAATCAATTCAAGGTTTTTGCAAAGACCTTCGTTTTGTACCTTTTTCTTTACAGTTCAATGATTGGCACATTTAAATGTGATATGAAAGCAAAGCTTGATGTACACTTGAGGGCACGCACATACTTTAATGTATGTGACATAAACACAATTTGAGAAAAACCATTATGAAGTTGCACTATTTCATAATGTTTGATAATTTTCTTAATAAATCATATTGTAAAATTGAAAAAATTCCTATAAATAGAGAAATTATCATGGTATGGGTAACTAGCATTTCCTGCCGCGAACGGAAGTTTCCTATCCCTTTCATTTACTCTAATATCTATGGTAAGACCATAGATATTAGAGTAAATGAAAGGGATAGGAAACTTCCGTTCCTGGGAAATCAAGCTATTTACCCTAGAAAGCGGAGGAATCCGGATACTAGTATACTCTAGCTGTTATTTTCCATCACCACAATGGGCGACTAGCCTGACTAGGCCATAATTCGTCCCTTGTAATAGCAAAAGTATGCTTCACAAAGACAAGATAATGGGCGGAAGACCCAGAATAACTCATCTAGTCTGTATCTGAAGTCTCTTTAGTCATTACTCGTTCAAGCAGTGAGATAATGGTACCCAACTAAACGCGGAAAGTTTACTTGTTTTTGAGCATAAAATGTCGAGAAAACAAGCTTTTGGAATTATTAAAGTTGGAAGACCTAAAGAAAAGAATTCTTTAATAGGGGCTTGCTTTAAATCTTTCATTTATAATATTGCTTTTGAGATAATGGGGACCAAAGAACAAACTAGTACTTTTTTAACTTTTAATCGCTAATAAATGCAATAGAAGAGCGTAAATCTTGCTATTTTTGGCTACAGCATGATAGTGGTATAACAGCTGATTTCTTTGAAGTATCATATGGCACTGCAATCATTACTATGCGAGTGCTATAGGTGAAAATCAGTGCTGCAGAGATGGAGAGAGCAAGTCTGGCCAGGGGTAACTAGCTTAAGTTGCTAGGCAACCTAATAATCTCAATGGAATATCCACCCACGCAACGGAAGTTTCCTATCCCTTTCATTTACTCTAATATCTATGGTAAGACCCTCTTATGATAACCACACCCACTTTACTTGTATCTCCATGGTAACCAGTAACGTCCTTTTTTGGGACATGAGACCCCTAAGCAGCAAGAAGTACACTCAGAATAAGTCCCAACCAACCAGTGACCCTGACTCACCCTATCACTACTTGCACTTGATATGGAAACCATTTTATAAGGTAATGGGAACACATGATCCTCTACATGTATTGTACATGTACATGTGTATGTACACACAGCATGTACATGTACATGTATACATGTACACACAGCATATGCATAATCATAATGTATGTCATATACTGTACATACATGTATATGTACATGTATACACAATGTACAAGATTTTTTAAAAATATGGCTAAAGTTCATGGACTACAGTACATGCGTGCATGGTAAATTGCTATGATAGAATTCTCAAAATATTTTCATTTATTAAGTTACAAAGACTTATAAATTTTATCAATGTGTGCATGCTTGCCTGCTATGTTAATAGGCTCTGAAAATTTCATTTTTCATCTATTCATGTGTCTTTTATACATGCACATGTACATTAATTTTCATTTTAGTATACATATACTTACAAAATGTACTTTACAGACAGTTTAATTTATTATTGTAAAGTCATTATACATTAATAATTATTAGATTACAACAGAGGTGTATTTATTGATTATTATTATTATCAATTGATAGGTTCCATTACCAAGGTCTAGTAACCCCGGCTCATTCACAATCACTTCTCTGAGTATAAAGGAGAGACTAGGACCACGGGCTACCAAGCAGCAGGCACAGACTCATGATAGAGGAGGGGGAGAGGAAGGGACAGGCTCATCAGCTCCTCTTCCTTACCAACTATCAATCAATACTGCTGGACTACCTCTTGATGATACCTCACCACATTTCTGCATTGGGTCTGAAGTATGTGGTACTGTTTTCAATAATGTAACAGTCACGTATACACATGCACATGTATACATGTACTTGTACATGGAATTGTCTTAGTAAAAATTACCACAAGTACATGTACATATGCAGTATGTATAGCTTTATGTGTGATGTTTTTTTTTATTTCCGAGTCATAAAAAATTTTGGTGGGATCAAAAAACAAAAAAATTAATTTTGCAATAAGGAAATTTATCCTGACTCTAGTAAAATGAATGTCAAGATTTTAATTTGCTTTAACAATTCACAAAGTTAAATTTTTACACTCTATGTACATGTACAATTCTCTACCGTGTGTACATGTTTTATATTTTAATTTTATTGTTAGGATGGAGAGCTAGTTTTTGTCAATTGGTTGCCAAGGAAGGATCCTGAGAGTGGAAAGATAGCATGTGAGTCACAATATTAATACAATGACAGTATCTCATTACTGTCACAATATTAATACAATGACAGTATCTCATTACTGT